TTACGACTTATTTCACTTTAAAATGAAAGCGACGGGCGATATGTGCATATTTTAGAGCTAAATCAATTCCCATAAATAAAGAACTTACTATCAAATCCAATTTAATTTAAATTTTAAATGAAAAAGCCAAAAATTATATCATTGTAACCCATTTTAACTTTAATATAAACTACACCTTGATCTGAAATACTTTATAATCAAAAATCATAAAAATTGTTATTCTCTTAAAATTTTTATAAACGACGATATGCAAATTAAAAACTAAAGTAAAAATTATCGTGGACCATCAATTAAAAAACAGGTTCCTCTGAACAGACTAAAATACCGCCAAATTTTTTAATTTTAAAGACCATAACTACTAATAATCAAAGAACAAAAATTCACATATGAAATAATAGGGTATCTAATCCTAGTCTACAAACAAATTTTACAGCCTCAAAAACTAATATAGAAAATAATTCAATTTTAAATTTCACCTAAAAAACCAAAATTATAATCCAAAAAATTAACTTTTAACTAATCTCGAAAAGTTTTACTTACATAATTTGTATAACCGCTACTGCTGGCACAAATTTTGTTTATGTTAAGAACAATTGCTAAATCTCAAAATAATGAAAATTTAAAATTATATACTACCAATTAAACTCAAATTTCTATCTAAAACCAACTTAAGCTAAAACTTATATATATATCAATCCTCAAGAAAAACCCTAAGCCAAAATAAAACTTTTCTTACACGCCGCCCAAACCTAACCCTAAATGAACTATCTCCCTAGACTTTTTTCACGCCCCCTTTAATTATTTAATTATAAACAACAAATTTCTAACTCTATATTTATAATTACTTATTTAAAAATAAAACGTAATAATAACCGTATTTAGATATAATTCCTATTCTATAAAGCTTTTATTATATAAAGCTAGTAGTTTTTTTTTTTATATAAATAATTTATGAGTATCCAATTAACATTAGGTAAATTTATTATTATTAAAGATACTATTCTATAATTGAATTATATATATATAAATAATTTATTATATAATAATATAAGTATCTAATGATAATATTTAATTTTTATTAAATTTCTCTCTCTTTTTTTTAGAGTCTTTATTATTAAATAAGAATAGTATATAAATTGGTATTATATAATAATTAAATACACCTACATACAAATATACTTTCATTATAATAATCAGTCTACGTCATGTATATATTACTGTATACTCTTCTCTACTATTTAATAAGTTTTAATTATTTGAGCACCCTTGAACAAAACTTTTTTAAAAAATTTCTGAATTATCATAGTAATGCCCTAGTTAATATAAAATCAGGAAAAATGACCCCGAAAAAAAAAAAAACGTTTAAATTACATTTTTTTTTTTTAACAATTTTATAATAACAAAACCAAAAATTCACCCCAATTAACTTCTCCCTTGAACTTTTTTTTTTATACATAAAGTTTTAACAATGAAGTGCCTGATAAAAGGATTATTTTGATAGAATAAATTATGTATAAAAATACCTTCATTATATCTAATAGAATCAAACTATTTCCTAGAGCATCAAAAACCCTTATACGTCTTATACTAAGATATAAAAAGGTAAGCTAAGTAAGCTTATAGGTTCATACCCTGTCAATGAAAGTAAAACCTTTCCCTTTTTAATTAAAATTTATAAAATTGTATTTATTAATTCCATAATCATAGGAACTCTCATTGCAATTTCATCATACTCATGATTAAGAATATGGATAGGACTAGAAATTAACTATTCAAATTCGTAAGGGTCCTAATAAGGTTGGTTTTATTGGGTTGTTACAGCCGTTTGCTGATGCAATTAAGTTGTTTACTAAGGAACAAACTTTTCCTGTTATGTCAAATTTTAATATTTATTATTTTTGTCCTGTCGTTAATTTATTTATTTCTCTTTTCTTGTGAATGATGATGCCTTTTTTAAGAGTGTGTTTAAATTTTAATTTATCTTTATTGTTTTTTTTGAGAGTTTCTAGATTAGGAGTTTATACTATCATAATAGCTGGATGGTCTTCTAATTCTTCTTACTCATTGTTGGGAGGTTTACGTTCTGTTGCTCAAACTATTTCTTATGAGGTGAGGTTGGCTTTAATTATAATATCTTTTATTTTTTTGTCTTTGAGTTTTAATTTGCTTGATTATTATTATGTTCAGAATTATGGTTGATTTATTTTTTTGTGTTTGCCTCTAAGTTTAATATGGCTGATTTCGGGATTGGCTGAAACTAATCGTACTCCTTTTGATTTTGCAGAAGGTGAATCTGAGTTGGTTTCTGGTTTTAATGTTGAGTATAGAAGAGGGGGTTTTGCAATAATTTTTCTTGCTGAATATGCAAGAATTCTTTTTATGAGAATAATTAGAGTTATACTTTTTTTAGGAGGTGATTTAAATTCTTTTATTTTTTTTGTTAAGTTGGTGTTTGTATCATTTTTTTGGTTATGAGTTCGTGGAACTCTTCCTCGGTTTCGTTATGATAAGTTGATGTATTTAGCTTGGAAAAGTTTTCTTCCTTGTTCGTTAAATTATTTGTTTTTGTTTTTTGGATTAAAGGTGATGATTTTTGTCCTTTTATTGTAGTTAAAAAAATTTAGTATAAACTAATAGAAAATTTTTGTTTCTTTCATATATTTTCAAAATATATACTTGTTCAAGTTCATTAGTTAATTAATAATTTTGTCTCAAATTTTGAATGTTAAAGGGTTAATAATGTAATATAGAAAGTATAGGACAGTAAGGGTTTGTCCTGTAATAATGTAGGGGTCTTCTACAGGTCGGGCTCCAATTCAAGTTAATAGAATTACTATTGATACTATTGATCAAAAAAGAGTTTTGTTTAAGGGATAGAACTGTCTTCTTGTGAATTTTTTTTTGTTTGTGAAGGGTAGGATGTATAGGATGGCAATTGACATTGCTAAGGCGATTACTCCTCCTAGTTTGTTAGGAATTGAACGGAGAATTGCATAGGCAAATAAAAAATATCATTCTGGTTGAATATGAACGGGGGTAACAAGGGGGTTAGCTGGTGTGAAATTGTCTGGATCTCCTAATATATAAGGATGGAGAAGTGAAAGTGCAGTAAGAGTTAATAATATAAGAAGAAATCCTATTACGTCCTTGTATGAAAAATAGGGGTGGAAGGGAATTTTGTCAATGTTTCTATTAAGTCCTAGAGGGTTATTGGATCCTGTTTGGTGAAGGAATAAAAGATGAATTATAACTATGGCTGCAATAATAAAAGGTAAAAGAAAGTGGAATGAAAAGAATCGTGTCAAGGTGGCATTGTCTACTGCGAAGCCTCCTCATACTCATTGTACAATAGTAGATCCTAGGTAAGGAATTGCTGATAGAAGATTTGTAATTACGGTTGCCCCTCATAATGATATTTGTCCTCATGGAAGAACATATCCCAGGAATGCAGTTGCTATTACTAGGAATAAGATTGTTACTCCTACTATTCAAGTGTGAAGTAGGTTATATGAACCATAATATATTCCTCGTCCAACGTGTATGTAAATACAGATGAAAAAAAAGGACGCTCCGTTAGCGTGAAGTGTTCGTATTAATCATCCTTGATTGACGTCTCGACAAATATGGGCTACTCTATTGAAAGCTATTTCGATATTAGGGCAATAATGTATTGCTAAAAATACACCTGTAATGATTTGAACTCCTAAACAAACTCCTAGTAGGGATCCATAGTTTCACAAAAGGGAAATATTAGAAGGAGTAGGAAGATCGATTAGAGAATTATTTACGATTTTGAAGAGAGGGGAATATTTACGTATTGCTTTTTTCATTAGTTTATTTGACGGATGGATCCTTGTTTGAAATTGGTAATTTTGACTGTGGCAATTAAAGCTAGTAGGAGATAAAATATTATGAATAATAGAATTATTCTTAATGGAAAATTGATGAATTTATTGATTGTTAATATGAATTCGGTTTTTTGATTAAAAATTAAGAGTTCGTTGTTTGAGATTAATAATTTATTAATATAGGATGTTAGTCAGGCAATAATGGGTAAAGGGGTAATAATTATTAAAATCTTAAGATTTGTTTTAAATTTTTCGTTTGATGCAATTCTTGTTATATATATAAAAAGAATGAGTATCCCACCAATTATAATTAAGAATAGAATGTAAGAAAATCATATATTTTGATTTATGAATCCTGTGGTTAATCTGATTGTAATGGTTTGTAATAATAAAATTGATCCTATTGATAAGGGGTGTTTTATTATAATAAAAATAGAGGTTAGGATTATGTTTGTTGCGATAAGAATAGATAAAATTTCAAGAAATAGTTTATTAAAATATTAATTTTGGAGATTAAAGATGAATTTATGTTCTTTCTTGATGTTTTTAAAGTTGAACTTATTTTTAGTTTACAAGACTAATATTTTATATTAAATTATAAAAACTAATGATAATTTTTAAGTTTACAAGATTTTTTATGTTTTTGGGGGGTTTACTGGTTTTTTCATTGAAACGAAAGCATTTACTTTTAATATTGTTAAGATTGGAATTTATTATTTTATCCATTTATTTTTTAATGTTTTTTTATTTTAGATTTTTAGGTGGGGATTATTTTTTTAGTATGGTTTTTTTAACTTTTAGAGTTTGTGAGGGGGTTTTAGGCTTGTCTGTATTGGTTTCTTTAATTCGTACTCATGGAAACGACTATTTTCAAAGATTTAATGTTTTATGATAAAATTCCTATTTTCATTAGTTTTTATGATTCCTTTATCTTTTTTCTTTGATTTTTGATTGAATCAGGTAGTATGGTTTATTGTTAGTTTATTTTTTTTGTTTGGATTTGTTTCTGTTGGATTATTTTCTAGAGTTTCAGGTGAATTAGGGATTGATTTATTATCTTATGTATTGATTTTGCTTAGTTTTTGAATTTGTAGATTAATGATTATGGCAAGGGAAAAGATTTATCTTAAAAATAATTGATATGGCTTATTTTTATTTGTTGTTTTGATTTTAATAATTTCATTATTTTTGACTTTTGGTTCTTTAAATGTTTTTTTGTTTTATATTTTTTTTGAGGTTAGGCTAATTCCTACATTAATTTTAATTGTGGGATGGGGCTATCAGCCTGAACGTTTACAGGCTGGGATTTATTTGTTGTTCTATACTCTTTTGGCGTCCTTGCCTATAATGGTTTCTTTGTTTTTTTGTTATGATTGTTTTGGTTCTTTACATTATTATTTTTTTTAATGATAATGTTGATAGATTGATTATTTACTTGCTTATTAATTTTGTTTTTTTTATTAAAATTCCCATGTTTTTTGTTCATTTGTGACTACCAAAAGCTCATGTTGAAGCCCCAGTTTCGGGTTCAATGATTTTAGCTGGAATTATACTTAAATTAGGAGGCTATGGTATAATACGACTTATAGTTATTTTTTCTTTAATTGGGATAAAGATTAATTTATTTTTTATTAGTTTGAGATTGGTCGGGGGTTTTTATGTGTCTTTGATTTGTTTACGTCAAAGAGATATGAAATCTTTGATTGCTTACTCTTCTGTTTCTCATATGGGATTAGTGTTGGCTGGAATTATAACTTTGAATTATTGAGGGTTAAGAGGGGCATTAGCTATAATGGTAGCTCATGGTCTTTGTTCTTCTGGTCTTTTTTGTTTGGCTAATATTTGTTATGAACGTTTGATGAGACGGAGTTTATATATTAATAAGGGGTTAATTAATGTTATACCTAGTTTGTCTTTACTTTGATTTTTGCTTATTTCTTCAAATATGGCTGCTCCTCCTTCATTAAACTTGATGGGTGAGATTATGCTTATTAATAGAATTGTTGGTTTTAGAATATTTAATATGTTTTTTTTAATATTAATTTCTTTTTTTGGGGCTGTCTATTCTTTATTTTTATATTCTTATAGTCAACATGGAATGGTCTATTCAGGTTTGTATTCGTTTTTTACTTGTAGGTTTCGAGAATTTTTATTGTTATCGTTGCATTGAGTCCCATTAAATTTACTTGTTTTAGTTGGGGATTTTATGGTTTTATGAGTTTATCTAAGTAGTTTAAATAAAATTTTGATTTGTGGAATCAGAGATATACTATAGTATTTTAGATAATATTGAATATTTGTTTAATTTATTTTTATTTTATAACTGTTTTTAGATTGATTTTGTTTTTTCTTAGAATTAATTTTATAATTTTGGATTTGACTTATTTTTTAGAATTTAATTTGGTTATGATTAATTCTTCATCGTTTGTAATGACTTTTATTTTTGATTGAATGTCTCTTTTGTTTATGAGTTTTGTATTGTTTATTTCTGGTATGGTTATTTATTATAGTCGTGAATATATAAGAGGAGATTTGTATTTAAATCGTTTTATTTTGCTTGTAGTTATATTTGTAGTTTCAATAATATTGCTTATTATTAGTCCTAATTTAATTAGAATTTTATTGGGTTGGGATGGATTAGGTTTGGTTTCTTATTGTTTAGTTATTTGTTATCAAAATGTAAAGTCATATAATGCCGGTATGTTAACTGCTTTAAGAAATATAAAAAGTTAATTTAATTTTTATATCACCCCAACAAAATAAATTTAATAAAAAACTAAAAACCTATTATATACTCATTAAATTTATAAAACTCTATAGGGTCTTCTCGTCTTTATATAAAATTTAAGCTTTTTTACTCAAAAATCAAGTTCTAATTACAACAAAGAGACAGCTTATTTCTCATCAAACCTTTCATACCAGCTTCCAATTAAAAAACTAATGATTATGCTACCTTTGCACAGTCAAAGTACTGCGGCCATTTAAATAATCATTGGGCAGGCCTGACCTTAAATCAACAACAAAAAGACATGTTTTTAATAAACAGGTGGAAACAATTATTTGCCGAGTTCCTTTTTATCGTCTAAAAAAACAAATTTACTCACACACAAAATATATACTAATTTAATCATTATTACACAGCAAACAAAATTAAAACCAATATTTTAGTAAAAATTTAAAATAAACATAAAACAAATAAAATAAATCTTCAATTATAACATCCTCCTAATGATAAAAAATTCTAATCCTACATAAGATTTACTAAACAAAAAATTATAAAAATTTACTTAAAAGCTCATCCCCTTAAGCATTACATAATAACAAGAAAAAAATAACAATAAATAATTTTCCTAATATTAAAATAATTAAATTAATTTCCTAAAAAACCAGATAAATTTAGAAACGAATAACATTTCACTACTATAAATCAATTATAAATGGTTATTCCACAACAAAATAAATTAACTTATAGCTCTTCTAAATTCGGGAAAACTAAATATTTAATACTAAATTAATTAACCCTGATACACAAGGTACAATAAACTAAATCTACTTATAAAAATTAAAAGAAAATCTCTTACAATACAATAAACTATAGTTAACAAAATTTTTTCTAATAAAAATAATAAAAATTAATATATTTCCAATAAAAATTTAACAACAATAAAATAAACAACACCCTAAACTCAAATTAAATTGAATTTCACAATTAACTTTTTAGTGTAAATAAAACGCTTCTCTCAAGCTCTAATTTGTTCATTCCAGGCTCATTTTCCAATAAGCCTACTTTGTTACGACTTATTTCACTTTAAAATGAAAGCGACGGGCGATATGTGCATATTTTAGAGCTAAATCAATTCCCATAAATAAAGAACTTACTATCAAATCCAATTTAATTTAAATTTTAAATGAAAAAGCCAAAAATTATATCATTGTAACCCATTTTAACTTTAATATAAACTACACCTTGATCTGAAATACTTTATAATCAAAAATCATAAAAATTGTTATTCTCTTAAAATTTTTATAAACGACGATATGCAAATTAAAAACTAAAGTAAAAATTATCGTGGACCATCAATTAAAAAACAGGTTCCTCTGAACAGACTAAAATACCGCCAAATTTTTTAATTTTAAAGACCATAACTACTAATAATCAAAGAACAAAAATTCACATATGAAATAATAGGGTATCTAATCCTAGTCTACAAACAAATTTTACAGCCTCAAAAACTAATATAGAAAATAATTCAATTTTAAATTTCACCTAAAAAACCAAAATTATAATCCAAAAAATTAACTTTTAACTAATCTCGAAAAGTTTTACTTACATAATTTGTATAACCGCTACTGCTGGCACAAATTTTGTTTATGTTAAGAACAATTGCTAAATCTCAAAATAATGAAAATTTAAAATTATATACTACCAATTAAACTCAAATTTCTATCTAAAACCAACTTAAGCTAAAACTTATATATATATCAATCCTCAAGAAAAACCCTAAGCCAAAATAAAACTTTTCTTACACGCCGCCCAAACCTAACCCTAAATGAACTATCTCCCTAGACTTTTTTCACGCCCCCTTTAATTATTTAATTATAAACAACAAATTTCTAACTCTATATTTATAATTACTTATTTAAAAATAAAACCTAATAATAACCGTATTTAGATATAATTCCTATTCTATAAAGCTTTTATTATATAAAGCTAGTAGTTTTTTTTTTTATATAAATAATTTATGAGTATCCAATTAACATTAGGTAAATTTATTATTATTAAAGATACTATTCTATAATTGAATTATATATATATAAATAATTTATTATATAATAATATAAGTATCTAATGATAATATTTAATTTTTATTAAATTTCTCTCTCTTTTTTTTAGAGTCTTTATTATTAAATAAGAATAGTATATAAATTGGTATTATATAATAATTAAATACACCTACATACAAATATACTTTCATTATAATAATCAGTCTACGTCATGTATATATTACTGTATACTCTTCTCTACTATTTAATAAGTTTTAATTATTTGAGCACCCTTGAACAAAACTTTTTTAAAAAATTTCTGAATTATCATAGTAATGCCCTAGTTAATATAAAATCAGGAAAAATGACCCCGAAAAAAAAAAACGTTTAAATTACATTTTTTTTTTTTAACAATTTTATAATAACAAAACCAAAAATTCACCCCAATTAACTTCTCCCTTGAACTTTTTTTTTTATACATAAAGTTTTAACAATGAAGTGCCTGATAAAAGGATTATTTTGATAGAATAAATTATGTATAAAAATACCTTCATTATATCTAATAGAATCAAACTATTTCCTAGAGCATCAAAAACCCTTATACGTCTTATACTAAGATATAAAAAGGTAAGCTAAGTAAGCTTATAGGTTCATACCCTGTCAATGAAAGTAAAACCTTTCCCTTTTTAATTAAAATTTATAAAATTGTATTTATTAATTCCATAATCATAGGAACTCTCATTGCAATTTCATCATGCTCATGATTAAGAATATGGATAGGACTAGAAATTAACTATTCAAATTCGTAAGGGTCCTAATAAGGTTGGTTTTATTGGGTTGTTACAGCCGTTTGCTGATGCAATTAAGTTGTTTACTAAGGAACAAACTTTTCCTGTTATGTCAAATTTTAATATTTATTATTTTTGTCCTGTCGTTAATTTATTTATTTCTCTTTTCTTGTGAATGATGATGCCTTTTTTAAGAGTGTGTTTAAATTTTAATTTATCTTTATTGTTTTTTTTGAGAGTTTCTAGATTAGGAGTTTATACTATCATAATAGCTGGATGGTCTTCTAATTCTTCTTACTCATTGTTGGGAGGTTTACGTTCTGTTGCTCAAACTATTTCTTATGAGGTGAGGTTGGCTTTAATTATAATATCTTTTATTTTTTTGTCTTTGAGTTTTAATTTGCTTGATTATTATTATGTTCAGAATTATGGTTGATTTATTTTTTTGTGTTTGCCTCTAAGTTTAATATGGCTGATTTCGGGATTGGCTGAAACTAATCGTACTCCTTTTGATTTTGCAGAAGGTGAATCTGAGTTGGTTTCTGGTTTTAATGTTGAGTATAGAAGAGGGGGTTTTGCAATAATTTTTGTCGATTTTTATTGAATTTGAACTATATTTCAACGTTTTTTGATGGTTCTGAGCCACCAAACACACTTAAAGCATGCAGAATCGACTCAGAATAGGAAAAGGAGACGTTTAGGTCAATTTTATGCATTCTGGCGTTCGTAGATACAAGAAAACTGTTAAAATTCTTCAGAAACGTCACTTTTGAAGTGTTTTCTTGTACTTTTAAGCCAATCAGAAACCCTACGGGCTCGGAAAGTGCAACGAAACCATCAAATTTTAGCTAGAAACTGTATTTTTGTCGATTTTTATTGAATTTGAACTATATTTCAACGTTTTTTGATGGTTCTGAGCCACCAAACACACTTAAAGCATGCAGAATCGACTCAGAATAGGAAAAGGAGACGTTTAGGTCAATTTTATGCATTCTGGCGTTCGTAGATACAAGAAAACTGTTAAAATTCTTCAGAAACGTCACTTTTGAAGTGTTTTCTTGTACTTTTAAGCCAATCAGATACCCTACGGGCTCGGAAAGTGCAACGAAACCATCAAATTTTAGCTAGAAACTGTATTTTTGTCGATTTTTATTGAATTTGAACTATATTTCAACGTTTTTTGATGGTTCTGAGCCACCAAACACACTTAAAGCATGCAGAATCGACTCAGAATAGGAAAAGGAGACGTTTAGGTCAATTTTATGCATTCTGGCGTTCGTAGATACAAGAAAACTGTTAAAATTCTTCAGAAACGTCACTTTTGAAGTGTTTTCTTGTACTTTTAAGCCAATCAGATACCCTACGGGCTCGGAAAGTGCAACGAAACCATCAAATTTTAGCTAGAAACTGTATTTTTGTCGATTTTTATTGAATTTGAACTATATTTCAACGTTTTTTGATGGTTCTGAGCCACCAAACACACTTAAAGCATGCAGAATCGACTCAGAATAGGAAAAGGAGACGTTTAGGTCAATTTTATGCATTCTGGCGTTCGTAGATACAAGAAAACTGTTAAAATTCTTCAGAAACGTCACTTTCGAAGTGTTTTCTTGTACTTTTAAGCCAATCAGATACCCTACGGGCTCGGAAAGTGCAACGAAACCATCAAAT